CCACTGGGAATGTGATGAAATAAATAAAAGCTGAAATCAATCATTCTCTCTACTATTATTCGGACATTTCACAATCTTAAAATAAAGTGGTGATCCTAACTGACCTAAGATAGGGAATGTTTACTAGGATTAAATGTCAGGAATTGTGAACAACTGAGTTTAAATGTATTTGGCTAAGGTGTATGTAAACTTCCGACTTCAACTGTATATCACTTGTTGGTTTATCCCTCTGTACTGGTACAGATCTACTACTCACACCATTCCTCTCAGGATCCCTCCCCCTTGACCCATCTTCCTCTATTGTATTCCCTGCCTCAGCATATGACAACTTCTGCACTACTCTAACCCTGGAAACCTCAACCTGCCTCTCTCGCACCGGACATTTCGGATCCCCAGCCCCATGGGCACCCCTACAATTAACACATATGCTCCACACTTTCCCCAATGCTACACATTCCTTTGTCTCATGCCCTTCTGCACACTTCTCACACCTAGGAACCTCCCTCCTACACACTGCTGCCACATGCCCATAAGCATGTATGTGGATTATGTGAAATGGGAACTGGAAAAATGGGAGGTAAATCATGACGTCAGTGATCTTCAGGTTGGAGCTCTAGAAAGAGGACCGAGTTGAATTCCGAGTTGGATGACCGTTCAAATCGATTTTTCCCATTTATATTTTCGTCATTTAGCAGACGCTCCTATCCAGAGCGATTTTACAGTTAGTGAGTGCATACATTTTTCATACTGGCCCCCCGTGGGAATCGAACCCACAATCCTGGCGTTGCAAGCGCCATGCTCTACCAACTGAGCTACAGGAGGCCAGTCGGAGCTCGTTTATTTCCGAGTTCCCAGTTGTTTTGAACGCGACAATAGTCCACGCACTTTGAAAAATGTATTAATTTCTACACTATCACTGTAATGTAGTGCATGTAACGAAAAGCTAGATCGATCCTTCAGTAAATGAACAGGAAATCTACACGGAAGCAGTTTACCCCGGCCAACACTCAGTGCGTCACACAAAGCACTGTGCGCAGAGTTCCATTGCCTTTGTACACAAAACACCCATTGAATTATTCAAATAATCGTTGCTGAGGACGATTTTTCCCCCAATCACTCACAGACGAAGTTATTGGCAGTGTTCGAGAGGATCAAAACAGCAATTTATCATGGCTAAATTGACTGAATGATCTACAAATAATAATTAGTCTGTATTTATGATGCAAGGTGATATGTAGATCAGTCAGCCTGCAGTCGTTTTTATGCTCGCGCTGCTCCCTCGGCGCACTGAGTGCTAGTGCGCATGTGATGTTGGTCCGTATAAACCGGATGCAACCCGCCAACCCGGATATAAACGGTCAATGAATCGGCGTATGCGAACGTGGGTAGATTACCTCAAACAACGGTCAGACATCTTTTGGACGCAGTCTCCAGTTAATATTATACCGCAGCGTTCCATAGCGGAAAGAGGAGCCATGATGTCACTGACATAGGCCGCCAATTCTGATCAATCCTGTACATTAAATTGGAAATAATAATCGAAAGTGTGGGTTGAAGCTGGTTGCCGCCAACATGTCGAAAGACTGTTTTCAAACCCAGTTCGCCTTTGTTATGGAGAGTGTATTGAAGAATGCAGTCACTGAGACAACGAAACTTTTCGAAACAACTATTGAGGAACTGCGAGCCGAAATATCCAGAATAAAAGAAGAGAACGAGTACCTCAAATCGAGGCTTCTATCCCTCGAAAAAACGAAGAGATCGACTGGTGAAAGTGAAAGCGAAAGCCAAACCGCAGAGCCCAGACCGAGTCAAAGAACCACACTTATCGGCAAACGTGACATTGGCGTTCAGTGCGGTGAGTAGAAAACAGGGGTGTATTCATTCCGCCAAACAATTGCAGATGGTTTTGCAACAAACGAGTTTCTATTGGACAAATTCAGGTAGGTCCCTCCCCGTTTGCTTCCGAAACATTTTGCAACAGAATCGGCGGAATGAATACACTCCTGGACTAGCTAGCTAAAATACGTTCAGATGATCACACATCCTGATAGCCTAGCTATTTAGCTGAGTATGAAGGCTCAAAGCTGAGAATATTTTCCAAAACTGCTTCATGTATACGTTTTAATTTGTATAGAATTTGTATTTAATTTGGAACGTAAAACTAATTCAGAATGCGCGGCCCCACTCTACATCAGGCGAACTAGCTTCCCTGGAGAACTCAACATGTCAAGTGTATGTTACAAGCGGAAAAGGAAACACAATTATATTTATAAAGACGGAGAAGCGGGCTTACATGTAGCCTAGTCAGTGTATGGAGAAATTGGAGGCGGAGTTAGGCCAAACACTACAGAGGATGTGGAATACTTGGCCTGGAATCTGGATACTTGGCGAGAAGCAACAGGGGAGGTGACTCCGAGTCGATAATAAGGAATTCCCCTCAACCACGCCCAAAAATAGATGGGGGAAACCAACTTAATTTCCTATTGACCACTGCTGTGTTCTTCAATGTACATGTAGCCAGGTCAAACATCCCGACCATACAATTGATAATGGGCGGCAGGTAGCCTATTGGTTAAGAGCGTTGGGCCAGGAACCGAAAGGTCGTTGGTTCGAATCGCCGAACCGGCAAAGTGGTAAAAATCTACCTTTCTGCCATTGAGCAAGGCGCCGTTGACGTGGATGTCGATTTAAGCCTGCCCCTGCAGCTCTCTGATTCAATGGGGTTGGGGTTAAATGCCGAAGACACATTTCGGTTGAAAGCATTCTGTTGCGCAACAGACTAGGGTACCCCCTTCTGATTCCCTTTCATTTTCTCAATGCTCCCACATAGGGAAATAGAGCTTGCGAGAAAGCCCTGTGGCGTCAGCCTATTCGCCAAGTAGGCTTAACGTAGCTATGTGTGTGTGGAAAACATTTAATCAAAGGTGAGACATTTAACTTGTTTAGTACTGTCCGTGTGTAACTCCATTCGCTAATTCTAGCTGTATAGTCCGTTTTTGTGTTGTTGGACTTGGCTAGCTTTATCAAAGATTTTTATAACTAACCCAAGACAGACCTGAGCCTGTCATTTCCAATGGGAGCAAATTAATCATGGTGGGCAGAACAAGCGAGGAGGAGTGCAGAGCCAATCACCAGCTAGTGAGATCCTATAGAGGTGTCATAGTACCCATAAAACCTAGCGGTCAAATAGGGAAATGGTTCCAATCATTTTCCACCATTCATTTTTCCCATAGGAGATTCCATAAAAACTTTAACTAAAGGCTGTGTTTTGTGTAGGCTTACCCTGCCATGACGTTTTGATAACTATCAGGCCTAGCTTGCTATTATGAAAATCGAATTAAAAAATACAAATAATGTTTTCAATTGGACTTTTGCTTTCAACAGCAGCTCAAACAAAACATGTAACTATGAACTATAGCCATTGAATTATACTATGTCAATATACCATGCATTATAGGGAAATAATACAAGCTCTAGAACGCCCTTCAAGCCAATCAGAAACGAGTATTCAACAATGCCATGGTATAAAGAAATAAGAATGTATGACAGGCAGACAGTCGAACAACGTTTCTGGTTAGGAAGAAATACTTAAGCCTAATTTTTATTTATCCGTTTATAATTTCTGAAATTTGATAGGCCCATGTTTCATATATAAATAAATGTTCCATATGCACAAAAAGTGTATTTCTCTCATTTTGTGCACAAATTTGTTTACATCTCTGTTAGTGAGCATTTCTCCTTTGCCAAGATAATCCACCCACCTGGCAGGTGTGGCATATCAAGAAACTGATTAAACAGCATGATCATTACACAGGTGCACTTTGTGCTGGGGACAATAAAAGGCCACTCTAAAATGTGCAGTTTTACCCGACCTCAACCCAATTGAGATGGTTTGGGATGAGTTGGATCGCAGAGTGAAGGAAAAGCAGCGAACAAGTGCTCAGCATATGTGGGAACTCCTTCAAGACTGTTGAAAAAGCATTCCAGGTGAAGCTGGTTGAGAGAATGCCAAGTGTGCAAAGCTGTCATCAAGGCAAAGGGTGGCTATTTGAAGAATCTCAAATATAAAGTATATTTTGATTAGTTTAACACTTTTTTTTTGTTACTACATGATTCCATATGTGTTATTTCACAGTTTTGATGTCTTCACTATTATTCTACAATGTTGAAAATAGTAAAAATTCAGAAAAACCCTTGAATGAGTAGGTGTCCAAACTTTTGACTGGTACTGTATATTTCTAAACTACTGGACAGATATGCATGCCACTTTCACCTAGTAGTAGTAGACACATTAGGCTTATGATTATGGGCTGAGATTTCTAGCTAACAGTTCTAGGATTTTCGTCAAAGGTCTATAGACTACAATATTACACAGAAGAACATGTGGTTTTGAGAGGCGTAGTCTATAGCTATGGTGTTTTGGGTTTACCTACTAACCACTCTCTCCCCTGATCTGGTATTCCCAGTTCTGACAGCGCACGCGTTGCCTTGGGCTGGGGTGCAGCAACAGCGCGAGGAGAACCAGGGGACGGAGCTGCACCGTGGGGCCCACGACGAGGAGGGAAACCCACAGACGGCCTTAGCACCACAGGAAGTGGACTGGGTAAGACCGTGCCCACCTACCCTGAGTCCCGATCTGTTTGGGTCAGTGCAATCTCGGATCGTTGGGACGTCCCTACCCTAAACCCCTACCAAACCATGTAAAATGTCAACTTCAATGGGGTAGGGACGTCCTAAGGAACCTGGATAGCACGGACCGATTTGTTTGTGCTGTCTTGCCAATTCATCCACCTCTCTATACTCAACCTATTGTTGTTGACCCAAGAGAGAAGAAAAACCTGTACACTGCACTTGCTAGCATGCTTTTTATTTATTTAAACTTAAGTACATCGGCCTAACAGCCTTCGTCGAGTTTTGTTGACCCTATTAACCTGTCCATCCACTTCTTTATACTCAAACTGTTGTTGTGGTTGCCTTTTTCCACCACCCAGACTACCTCAGGAGCCGCAGCGGCCCTCCTCCAGGGAGATCCAGACACCCAGGAGGCCCCCCAGGCTCTCAGCCCATCCCAGCCCAGGACCAGAGGGGTTACCAGGGGCAGTGCAGGGCAGGACCAGGCCCCTGGAACAGAACAGCAGTCACTGGTAATACCAGCAGCAGAGTCTCCATCAACATTACACCTGACAGCATCTCCTCAATCACCAGCCACTATCCAGTCTACATCAACTGTCCTGTCGACTGTAATGGTCCAGTCCACGGTAACTACTCTGTCAAAAGAAACTGTCCAAACGACCACAGCGGTCCAGTCTACCGTAACGGCGACAGCAGCAGCGTCAGAGCGCCCGCCACCTGTCCTCTCCGGGTTACCCAGTACCCCTCTTCAGGATACACAGCCCAGCCTCGTACCCCCTCGTCCACCCCGACCTCCTCGAGCACCACCATCACAGTCTCACACAGACGTACTACCTGTAGCTCGTCCAATAGTAGTGCCCTCAACACAACCAGCTAGGCCTACAGCCGTAACCGATGGACCACCGGCCGCACCACCAACACAACCGCAACCGCCTACGGTTTTGGAGCAGTCGGGTGTTGGCACGGCAACATCGTTAACACCACCGGTCCAGTCCTCTCCGTCTCCGACTGAGTTGACAGAACCTTCCGGCACCCCTGAAAAGCAGGCGTCATTGGTCACTGAGCATGTGCAACGCTCCTCCACCGTGCCACCTCCGAAGTCACCTGCTGTCCCAGAGACGTCTGATGAAGCCCCTCTACAGCCGTCAGCCCCTGCTGTAACCACACCATCACCCTCTGGCCCCTGTCAAATGTCTAAGACACAGTTTTTAGCTCAATTGTCAGTAGTACCCCTAGTACGCGACCCGCCGAGGGTGGAGGAAGATGAGGAGGGGGAGAGGCTTTCCCCCCTCCCTGCCATGTCTACGGAAGCTGTGATAACCAGGTCTGTCGCTACGGAGACGACTCCCGCCAAAGAGACTAAGGAGGAGATTGTTGTCCAGGTAGGCGGCCGCCGAAAGTCAAGTCCACGTGAAGCGATCCTCTCTGGTCTCCGCCTCCGCTTAAGGCCCCGCCCCCAGGACAGCGCGACATCTCCCGTGGTTGCTAAGAAACCCAGAGGAGATAGAACCGCCCCTCTAGACCACGACTACTCAAAGGTGATGCAGAACGGAGGAGAAAAGTCCAGTGAATCACACGTTGACCAGGATGTAGTAGAGGACACCACTAACGGTGTGACGGCTGACGACAAGTCTACTGGACAAGGAAGTAGTAACCAAGTCATCAGTGAGGAAGAGGGAGGAGCTAACACTGATGTGACCTCCCCGACTAGACAGTCACCTATTGGTGGAGGAGGAGGCGTGTCCAAATCCAAGAAGAGAAACATGACCTGGGTGCAGGCTCAGAGACTATTGGCCCTAGCCCAGGCTAAGAGGAGTAGGTCAAAGGTCACCAAGACCTCCCAGAGAGGTCTGAGGTCAGAGCTAAGAGGTCTGGTGACACAGTTTCTGCCTTCCAACCCACAGCGTCGCCTGTCATACAGCCCCAGCCCTCACGCTACCTCCACCTCCAGCCCACGCCGCACCAGTCCTCGCCAGGCTACAAGGGCGGACACAAACCCTTCTCCTGCCACCGCTCCTCACTCACAGCCTCACCAGTTCAAAGTTACTTCCACCACCTCTCGTCGCGGAAGACCTCGTTCAGGGGCCGTGGCGGCTTTAAATTTGAAACGGTCTCCCTCCAACCCTCAACCTATCCCCTTCATTGTCAAAGTCAGCCCTCGCTCCGGATTCAAGAAGTCCCCCCAGTGCATGCTGACGTTAAAGCAGGGGCGCCGATACCGCCAATCACAACCGATGTGGTCACCGCCGGGACCGTTCCAGCACCAACAGTCTCCCCAGTCTCCACGGAAACGTCTCGCCAAGAACCAGTGTGCAGACTGCGGTCGTGTCCTGAGCAGCGGCGCTGCTTTAGAGAGCCACGCCTCCCTCCACACGGGGAAGCGCCCGTTCGCCTGCTCCGCCTGCGGCAAGGACTTCCCCAACCTCAAGGGCCTCAACCGCCACGCCCGCGTCCACGGCGACCAGCGGGGCCACCAGTGTCCGCAGTGTGACAAGACCTTCGTCTACCGCTTCGGCCTGACCAAGCACGAGCAGGTGGTCCACAGCGGCGTGCGTCCGTTCGTCTGCCCGATCTGTGACAAACGCTTGATCACCCGGCGTGACCTGGAGACGCATATCCGCGTTCACACTGGAGAGAAACCATTTGCCTGTTCCCTCTGTGTGAAGCGGTTCAAGAGGCGTGTGGAGCTGAATGTTCACCTGATGTGGCACAACGGGGAGAAGAGACACTGGTGCTCATACTGCGGGAAGGGATTTCTGGATTACAATAATCTGAAGAGCCACAAACTGGTCCACACAGGGGAGAAGCCCTACACCTGCTCTGAGTGTGGCAAGTGTTTCAAACAGACTGGCCATCTGAAGAAACACCTGAAGACCATACACAAACACAGATAGGGAGGGGACGAGTCTTAAATGGCTCCCTATATAGTGCACTACTTTGGACCAGAGAGTGTCAGGCCCTGGTAAAGTAGTACACTATCCAGTGAGGGAAAAAAGTATTTGATCCCCTGCTGATTCTGTACATTTGCCCACTGACAAAGACATGATCAGTCTATAATTTTAATGGTAGGTTTATTTGAACAGTGAGAGACAGAATAACAACAAAAAAATCCAGAAAAACGCATGTCAAAAATGTTATAAATTGATTTGCATTTTAATGAGGGAAATAAGTATTTGACCCCTCTGCAAAACACAACTTAGTGGCAAAACCCTTGTTGGCAATCAGAGGTCAGACGTTTCTTGTAGTTGGCCACCAGGTTTGCACACATCTCAGGAGGGATTTTGTCCCACTCCTCTTTGCAGATCTTCTCCAAGTCATTAAGGTTTCGAGCCTGACATTTGGCAACTCGAACCTTCAGCTACCTCCACAGATTTTCTATGGGATTAAGGTCTGGAGACTGGCTAGGCCACTCCAGGACCTTAATGTGCTTCTTCTTGAGCCACTCCTTTGTTGCTGTGTGCTTTGGGCCATTGTCATGCTGGAATACCCATCCACAACCCATTTTCAATGCCCTAGCTGAGGGAAGGAGGTTCTCACCCAAGATTTGACGGTACATGGCCCCGTCCATTTGATGCGGTGAAGTTGTCCTGTCCCCTTAGCAGAAAAACACCCCCAAAGCATAATGTTTCCACCTCCATGTTTGACGGTGGGGATGGTGGTGTTGGGGTCATAGGCAGCATTCCTCCTCCTCCAAACACGGCGAGTTGAGTTGATGCCAAAGAGCTCGATTTTGGTCTCATCTGACCACAACACTTTCACCCAGTTCTCCTCTGAATCATTCAGATGTTCACTGGCAAACTTCAGACATGCCTGTATATGTGCTTTCTTGAGCAGGGGGACCTTGCGGGCGCTGCAGGATTTCAGTCCTTCACGGCGTAGTGTGTTACCAATTGTTTTCTTGGTGACTATGGTCCCAGCTGCCTTGAGATCATTGACAAGATCCTCCCGTGTAGTTCTGGGCTGATTCCTCACCGTTCTCATGATCATTGCAACTCCACGAGGTGAGATCTTGCATGGAGCCCCAGGCCAAGGGAGATTGACAGTTATTTGGTGTTTCTTCCATTTGCGAATAATCTCACCAACTGTTGTCACCTTCTCACCAAGCTGCTTGGCGATGGTCTTGTAGCCCATTCCAGCCTTGTGTAGGTCTACAATCTTGTCCCTGACATCCTTGGAGAGCTCTTTGGTCTTGGCCATGGTGGAGAGTTTGGAATCTATCTGATTGATTGCTTCTGTGGACAGGTGTCTTTTATACAGGTAACAAACTGAGATTAGGAGCACTCCCTTTAAGAGTGTGCTCCTAATCTCAGCTCGTTACCTGTATAAAAGACACCTGGGAGCCAGAAATCTTTCTGATTGAGATGGGGTCAAATACTTATTTCCCTCATTAAAATGCAAATCAATTTAACATTTTTGACATGCGTTTTTCTGGATTTTGTTGTTGTTATTCTGTCTCTCACTGTTCAAATAAACCTACCATTAAAATTATAGACTGATAAAACATTTTGTCAGTGGACAAATGTACAAAATCAGCAGGGGATCAAATCCTTATTTCCCTCACTGTATAGGGAATAGGGTGTATAGAAATAACTATTCCCTCATATCGGCTTTCTATTTGCTGTGAATTCAAAACCCAGCCATGTTAGTTTTATCGAAGCAGGGATCCCAATTTATTCTCACAGTGCTTTGGAAGGACTTGTTATTTTATGTATTGATTACAAGAGTCAAAGCTTTTGTTGTCTAAACATTTGGGGCTGATTTTGTTGTGTGGAAGAATCATGCTGCAAGAGAATGACGTCGCTAAGTGTAAAAATGTTTTTACAAGTTGTTGACTTGAATTGAGTTGGTTATTTGTATTTAAAACATCAATTCTGGTTATTCGTCATTTGTTATTCATTAGGAAAGTTATAAGCCTAAACAAGTTTGAATGTAGGTGTACTGTGTTTACGTCTCACGTCATGGTTTTTATGTTCTGCGGTTTTGAACTACACTGAACAAAAATATAAACTCAACATGTATAGTGTTGGTCCCATGTTTCATGAGCTGAAATAAAATAACCCAGAAATGTTCCATACGCACAAAAAGCGCATTTCTCATATATTGTGAACAAATTTGTTTACATCCCTGTTAGTGAACATTTCTCCTTTGCCAAGATAATCCAACCTGACAGGTGTGGCATATCAAGAAGCTGATTAAATGTGGAGTTTTGTCAAACAGAGTGCCCCATGGTGGGGTTACGGTATGGGCAGGCATAGGCTACAGACAACGAACACATTTGCATTTTATCTAAGGAAATTTAAATGCACAAAAATACCATGAGATCCTGAGGACCATTGTGAGGCCCATTTTTTTGAAGGTATCTGTGACCAACAGATGCATATCTGTATTCCCAGTTGTGAAATCCATATACTAGGGCTTAATGAATTTATATAACTTACCTGATATCTTCATATGAACTGTAACTCAGTAAAATCAATGAAATTGTTGTGTTTATATTTTTGTTCGGTATAGATGCATTAAAATGTTTTTATTTTTATGTAAAAATCTGTGCTGGACTTGAATGACCCTCCAGGTCGTAATTAGAAGTAGAAAACGCTGAAAAAATATTGTTACCCAAGTTGTGACGTTTTACCTTTCACTTTCTCAACCAAAACATGACAAAAAATCAAATTCTTTACAGAAAAGTCTATCAATTAGGATAATGTAGCTAGTTTGACAATATTGTCAATGTTAAGCAAGCTAACTTTTATTAGCAACGTTAACTAGCTAAATGTTTATTGGTTGAAGAATTGTTCGGACTTCAAAAGCACTTGAACACAATCATGGCAGACTTACGATATCCCACAAGCACATGAATGCCCCATATTCAAATGTTTGGTAGGTTGGCATGGTCATTATGACAGACAATTCATAGACAGTCTATAATTTAAGGCATACATTCTTATTCAACACAGGGTTAGATTTCCAACAGTTCATATTTTCAATGTCCTTATTAATAAACAATTGATCACCCAAAAAATAAATGTTCTCAATGTCAAATTAAAACTAAACAAAAAATAGTTGTTTTCTAGACCACCACTCAGTCCACGAGATTCGGCCTGTGTTTGTGCTGGTGTGACTTCAGATGGTTCAGTTGTTTGAAGCGGAGTCCACACACAGCACAGCAGTACGGTCTCTCCCCAGTGTGGGTGCGCTTGTGCACCTTCAAAATGTCTGCCCGTGTGAAGCTCTTGTCACACATGGTGCAGCGGTGGGGTTTCTCCTGCGTGTGAATGCGCTGATGCAGCTTGAGGTTCCAGAGCCGACTGAACTTGTTCCCACAGATGGAGCAGCAGTAGGGCTTGTCTGTCGTCTGGCTGCATTTGTGCCTCTTCAGGTCGGAGAAGGAGGTGAAGCCCTTGCCGCAATCTCTGCAGAGGTGGAGTCCCTCGGCCTGGTGGACCTTGAGGTTGCAGGCCTGGGTGAAGGTCTTACCGCACTGGGTGCGGGAGTACAGACGCCCTGGCCCTAAACTCGACCATCTCCCAGTTTTGTGTTTCTCCTTGTGGGCCTTGAGGGAACCAGAGTCTGGGAAGGTCATTGTGCATTGATTGCAGGCGTGACGCCTCCCCCCTCCTCCGGTTACCTGCTCTTGTGAACGATCTCTGAGGTTTAGAGAGTGTCCAAAGTCATCAGCGGCACCATACAGGCTCTCTGTTTTGTTGTTGTGGGCTGAGCGTCCAGAGTGGATGGAGGTTAGACCCCTTTGGCCAGCTCTGCTACCCATGTCCGGAACACCGTGTTCAGGGTACCCCTCCTCGTTGATCAACAGGCAGTTCAGGTCTCCCACCTCCTGGTGGGGGGACCGCGTTAGTTGACCCCATCCGCTCCCTCATGCTCTGATGGGGGCCAGTCATGTGGGAGCGATGGTGATGGTCTCCCCCCTCAGACCCCCCCAGGTTCACCTGGTAGTGACCCACAGCTCCGTAGCTCAGCGCCCCCAGACGAGACGGAGGAACCAGGAAGCCTATCCAGCCCTTCCATGTCTAGAATATGGTCGCCACCACCACCAGCGCCGTAACCAGACTTCTCAAAGCCGCCCCCCAGTTCCTCCATGCTGTAACGAGGGCGGTAGAGAGGGTCAGTGGGGTCCCCTGGGTCTCCCTCTGGGACCCGGTGGTTCAGGCCCCTGGTCTAGACCGGACCCCCAGTCATCCTGGCACTGCTGCAGCTCCTGCTCACTGAAACTCTTACTGGGCCCCGAGACGTCCGAAACCATTGGCCCCTGAAGAACACAGGAGCCATGAGGTATTAGAAGCATTAGCATTAGAGGCATTGGTAATAGTAGAAACTGTAGTAGAGTAACTAATGCTAAATGTGAACTTAAAGTTTCAAGTTGATTTGTTATGATACCAATGACAACATATTATAAGCTACTTTCCTTTTCATTCTCATCATCATAAAGATGGTCTGTTATGTTTGTTGTAAACTCCTCAACTCACCGTCCAGGCAGCCGGCCCATCTCTCCCGTAGTTCAGTGTTGGGGAGAGCCTCCTCTTTCAGCAGGCTGTCCTGCTTCTGACCTCCGACCTCTGTGGACTGCCAGAGGAAATTAATGAGTCGATTCAGACTAAATGATGGATAAACTGACAGTGAATGAATAGAGTGGACATGACGGTCCCCTATTCCTCCTGACAGACAAAGTTCTAATCTGTTCTACACAATACATTTTTATCTGAAGGTTCTGTAACACTGGTGTTTAGTCCATCCCCTAGCTACCTCAGAGGTACTCCTAGGGCTGGTGGCCTCGGCCTCCTCCAGATCATGCGAGGCTGTTTCCTCTGCCACGGCCCCACAGCTGCTCCACTCCTCCCCTGGAACCTTCTCCTGCTTCAGGCCAAGCTCCCTCTCTGCATCTGGCCACAGGTAAACAAAGAGAAAAATTAATCTTATGGAAAGGTGAAAGCTGAATTGTGAATAATGTAGTCTCCTCGTATCAGTGCAGATGAAGGAAATAAAGCATCTTACCACCAATTCAACTGATCAGTGTTCACCAAAATCTGGAAGGTACACATTACAGCAGCCGCACTTCAGAGTGATTCCTCCATTCGGAAAGTATTCAGATCCCTTGACTTTTTCCACATTTTGCTACGTTACAGCTTTATTCTAAAATAGATTAAATCTACACACAACACCCCATAATGACAAAGCAACATCAGGTTTAGAAATGTTTGCAAATTTATTGAAAATAAAAAACTAAAATATCACATTTATATAAGTATTCAGACCCTGTACTAAGTAATTTGTTGAAGCACCTTTGGCAGCGATTTCAGCCTAGAGTCTTCTTGGGTATGATGCTACAAGCTTGGTACACCTGTATTTGGGGAGTTTCCCCCATTCTTCTCTGCAGATCCTCTCAAGCTCTGTCAGGTGTGATGGGGAGCGTCGATGCACAGCTATTTTCAGGTCTCTTCGGAGATGTTAGATCGGGTTCAAGTCCGGGCTCTGGCTGGGCCACTCAAGGACATTCAGAGACTTGTCCGGAAGCCACTCCTGCGTTGTCTTGGCTGTGTGCTTACGGTCATTGTTCTGTTGGAAGGTGAACCTTCGCCCCAGTCTGAGGTCCTGATCGCAGGTTTTCATCAAGGATCTCTGTACTTGGCTCCGTTCATCTTTCCCTCAATCTTGACTAGTCTCCCAGTCCCTGCCGCTGAAAAACATCCCCACAGCATGATACTGCCACCACCATGCTTCACCGTAGGGATGGTGCCAGGTTTCCTCCAGACGTGACGCATGGCATTCACTCCAAAGAGTTCAATCTTGGTTTCATCAGACCAGAGAATCTTGTTTCTCATGGTCAGAGTCCTTTAGGTGCCTTTTGGCAAACTCCAAGCGGGCTGTAATGTGCCTTTTACTGAGAAGTGGCTTCTGTCTGGCCACTACCATAAAGGCCTGATTGGTGGAGTGCTGCAGAGATGGTTGTCCTTCTTGAAGGTTTGTCAGAGTGCTCTGTCAGAGTGACCATCGGGTTCTTGGTCACCTCCCTGACCAAGCCCTTCTCCCCCGATTGCTCAGTTTGGCCAGGCGGCCAGCTCTAGGAAGAGTCTTGGTGGTTCCAAACTTTTTCCATTTAAGAATGATGGAGGCCACTGTGTTCATGGGGACCTTCAATGCTGCAGAAATATTTTGGTTCCCTTCCCCAGATCTGTGCCTCGACACAATTCTGTCTTGGAGCTCTACAAACAATTCCTTCAACCTCATGGCTAGTTTTTGCTCTGACATGCACTGTCAACTGTGGGACCTTACATAGACAGGTGTGTGCCTTTCCAAATCATGTCCAATTAATTTAATTTACCACAGGTGGACTCCAATCAAGTTGTAGAAACATCAAGGATGATCAATGGAAACAGGATGCACCGGAGCTCAATTTAGAGTCTCATAGCAAAGGGTCTGAATACTTACACTACCAGTCAAAAATGTGGACACACCTACTCATTCAAGGGTTTTTCTAATTTTTTAAAAACTATTTTCTACATTGTAGAATAATAGTGAAGACATCAAAACTATGAAATAACACATATGGAATAATGTAGTAACCAAAGGTGTTAAACAAATCAATATATATTTTATATTTGAGATTCTTCAAATAGCCACCCTTTGCCTTGATGACAGCTTTGCACACTCTTGGCATTCTCTCAACCAGCTTCATGAGGTAGTCACCTGGAATGCATTTCAATTAACAGGTGTGCCTGTTAATTGTTCTTGTGGAATGTCTTTCCTTCTTAATCCATTTGAGCCAATCAGTTGTGTTGTGACAAGGTAGGGGGGGGGTGTACAGAAGATAGCCCTATTTGGTAAATGACCAAATCCATATTATGTCAAGAACAGTTCAAATAAGCAAAGAGAAACGACAGTTCATCATTACTTTAAGACATGAAGGTCAGTCAATGCTGAACATTTCAAGAACTTTGAAAGTTTCTTCAAGTGCAGTCGCAAAAACCATCAAGCGCTATGATAATAATAAATAATATGCCATTTAGCAGACGCTTTTATCCAAAGCGACTTAGTCATGCGTGCATACATTTATTTTTTGTGTATGGGTGGTCCCGGGGATCGAACCCACTAACTTGGCGTTACAAGCGCCGTGCTCTACCAGCTGAGCTACAGAGGACCATGATGAAATTGGCCCTCATGAGGACCGCCACAGGAATGGAAGACCCAGAGTTACCTCTGCTGCAGAGGATAAGTTCATTAGAGTTACCAGCCTCAGAAATTGCAGCCCAAATAAATGCTTCACAGAGTTAAAGTAACAGACACATCTCAGCATCAACTGTTCAGAGGGGACTGTGTGAATCAGGCCTTCATGGTCAAATTGCTGCAAAGAAACCACTACTAAAGGACACCAATAAGAAGAAGAGACCTGCTTGAGCCAAGAAACACGAGCAATGGACATGAGAGAGAGAGAGCGAGAGAGACCCAGAACGTGAGCAGAGCAACAGGCCCAACACTATTACACCCACCCAATCACCATCCTGCGACCTAAGGTATGAATCAGATGCTCAACATTCTCTTCTCACACCTACTGTGATGGTCCGGGCCTAAACCACACAAAAACAACACTAGACACTATGGAACACAAAGCTTTTACCATCTCATCCTGGAATATACAGTTGAAGTCGGAAGTTTACATTCACTTAGGTTGGAGTCATTAAAACCTGTTTTTCAACCACTGAACAAATTTCTTGTTAAAACTATAGTTTTGGCAAGTCGGTTGGGACATTTACTTTGTGCATGACACAAGTCATTTTTCCAACAAATGTTTACAGAGATTATTTCACTTATAATTCACTGTATCACAATTCCAGTGGGTCAGAAGTTTACAATACACTAAGTTGACTGTGCCTTTAAACAGCTTGGAAAATTCCAGAAAATGATGTCATAGCTTTAGAAGCATCTGATAGGCTAATTGACATCATTTGAGTCAATTGGAGGTGTACCTGTGGATGTATTTCAAGGCCTACCTTCAAACTCAGTGCCTCTGCTTGACATCATGAAAATAAATCAGCCAAGACCTCAGAAAAGATTTGTATACCTCCACAAGTCTGGTTCATCCTTGGGAGCAATTTCCAAATGCCTGAAGGTACTACGTTCATCTGTACAAACAATAGTACGCAAGTATAAACACCATGGGACCACGAAGCCGTCATACCGCTCAGGAAGGAGACACGTTCTGTCTCCTAGAGATGAACGTACTTTGGTGCAAAAAGTGCAAATCAATCCCAGAAACAGCAAAGGACCTTGTGAAGATGCTGGAGGAAACAGGTACAAATGTATCTATATCCACAGTAAAACGAGTCCTATATCGACATAATCTGAAAGGCCGCTCAGTAAGGAAGAAGACACTGCTCCAAAACCGCCATAAAAAGGCCAGACTACGGTTTGCAACTGCACATGGGGACAAAAATCTTACTTTTTGGAGAAATGTTCCCTGGTCTGATGAAACAAAAATAGAACTGTTTGGCCATAATGACCATTGTTAATGTTTGGAGGAAAAAGGGGGATGCTTGCAAGCTGAAGAACACCATCCCAACCGTGAAGCACCGGGGTGGCAGCATCATGCTGTGGGGGTGCTTTGCTGCAGGAGGGACTGGTGCACTTCACAAAATACATGGCATCATGAGGAAGGAAAATTATGTGGATATATTGAAGCAACATCTCAAGACATCAGTCAGGAAGTTAAAGCCTGGTTGCAAATGGGTCTTCCAAATGGACAATGACCCCAAGTATACTTCCAAAGTTGTGGCAAAATGGCTTAAGGACAACAAAGTTAAGGTATTGGAGTGGCCATCACAAAGCCCTGACCTCAATCCTATAGAACATTAGTGGGCAGAAATGAAAAAGCGCGTGCGAGCAAGGAGGCCTACAAACCTGACTCAGTTACACCAGCTCTGTCAGGAGGAATGGGCCAAAATTCACCCAACTTATTGTGGGAAGCTTGTGGAAGGCTACCCGAAACGTTTGACCCAAGTTAAACAATTTATAGGCAATGCTACCAAATACTAATTGAGTGTATGTAAACTTCTGACCCACTGGGAATGTGATGAAAGAAATAAAAGCTGAAATAAATCACTCTCTACAATTATTCTGACATTTCACATTCTTAAAATAAAGTGGTGATCCTAGCTGACCTAAGACAGGGACTTTTTACTAGGATTAAATGTCAGGAATTGTGAAAAACTGAGTTTAAATGTATTTGGCTAAGGTGTATGTAAACTTCCAACTTCAACTGTACAAGGTCTGAGGTCATCTGCCTTTGGCCTAAAGAGCAGGAACCCAGACTTCCTCAAAGAAATTGGAAATACAGACTCAGGGGGTATGCTAATTTGGTATAGAGCAGACCTAACCCACTCTATTAAATTAGTCAAAACAGGAACATTTTACATCTGGCTAGAAATTAATAAGGAAATTATCTCAGAGAAAAATGTACTCATGTATGCTACCTATATCCCCCCAATAGAATCCCCATACTTTAACAATGACAGCTTCTCCATCCTAGAAGGGGGAGACCAACAATTTCCAGGCCCAGGGACATGTAATAGTGGTGACCTAAATGCCTGAACTGGACAAGAACCCACACAGGGGGATAAACACCTACCTGGAGGTGACAGAGATCCATTTCAGGCCCAGGCCCATTTCCAGACCCAGTGATTCCTATGTTGTTTATGTAAAGAATATTTGTTGGTCCATGGTGGGTAATGAGGAGCAAACAGACACTGCACTTGACACATTTATGAAATTGCTTATTCCAGTTACTAATAAGCATGCACCCATTAAGAAAATGACTGTAAAAACTGTTAAATCCCCGTGGATTGATGAGGAATTGAAAAATTGTATGGTTGAGAGGGATGAGGCAA